AATAAAAACCAACCAAACAAACAAAAAAAACCCACCACAACAGCAACAACAACAACAAAAGGCCATCTTATCTCTTAGTTCAGATACTTCCACTTCCTATGAATTCCTATGAACAAATTTAACACTAGCCTCTTTGGAATTTCAGAAAAAGCAGACAGAAAAAAATATGTTTCATGCTGGCCCTGTGTATTCCTTTGGATAGCCTCAGTATCCTACAAACAAAATTATGTCTGAAGTTCTAAATATTTCTGACCTAAACGTATGGGTTTATAATTCTGAATTTTCAGGTGAACTCTGAAATACGTATTTCTGCAGGTGACATGGACTTAGAGCTGCAGACAGGCTCAGTTTGATTTCAGCCCTTCTGATTCATCTGCTTAAAGGATATATCCACTCCCAAAGAGAGAGTAAGACCTGTCTTAGATGAATGTCTTAAAAACCTTCAGTGACAACATCAGAAGAAGGCAGGACCAAAAACCTTTATAAAGTATATCTTTACCTTTTACTAAGTCAAGAATATCAGTATGTTACACCCTAATTAGTGGTGATCTTGGCTGGTGTCCTTTTGACTAAATAATTCTTTTGCCCCTTGCCTTTGTCTGACTTTTCTCTCAAAGTAGGCAGTGTGGTCTCTTTCTGAGGAAGGTACTGACCTTTATCCACTTTCACCATGTCAATTTAACTGTGGGAATCCTGTGCTTCAGCCTCCCTTTCCCAGTCCCCAGAAAGCTATGCACTTGCCAATCAGACTTGCAGGGAATTATTAAAATTCTAAAAGACACTACCAAAATAAAGTCTTGCATTTCAATAAACAAGGAATCTTTCACTGTTTATGTTCTCTCCAAGACAACCTATGCTTTAATATAATCAGGACAGGGTCCACAATTAACTGCCCATGTCAAAACCCAGGTCATTTTACAATAAACATTCTTACTATAAAGTCATTTTGCAAAATGACATCTGCAAAAAGCCCAAAGTTCACTATTTGATAAAATCATCTGCAATCCTGTCAGGTCTGATATTACACAATGGCAAGACGGGATTAAAAAAAAAACCACAACAACCCAACCAAACCAAGTTCTGCTATGCTATACAACAGTTAAATACGTGCCAATGGTCTACAGAATAGTTTAATTGTTTCACAGAAAAAAACAATGACTTCAGATCACAAAAGAAGCTTATTATCTGAAAGGCAGTAGAGATTTCTATTCACTCTGGAACTCCCACTAATTTTATTTTGACATGGAAGACAGAGAAAAATGGGAACCAAAGGGTCAGAAACTGATAGCTGTTATCTTGCATACTAACCAGAATAGAAGGTGCTACTTTACGATATCTCCCAAAAAAAGAAATTTCATGTAACTTAGACAGAAACCTTTAAGTTATTTTAAATATACTGGCAAAATGCTTCACTACGACGTTAGTCGCCAGTATTTTTTCATCAATACTGCTGCAAGTAGATTTTTTAGCAACTTTAGGCTGCTTTGCATGTCTCAATCCATTTGCTACTTATAGCAAAAGTTTAAGAGCTCACATTCAACTGAACTGCCATGATTATATATGTAGTTTAAATTTTCAGCAAACAGGAGACAAAAATGCAAAAAAAATCAATAGAATTTTTAGCCAGTATATTCTATTTCAGATTAATAATTGCATAGGGACTGCATGTAACTTTCCCATCTTATCTCTGTCAGTATTAACAACAAAACAGACAATTTTTACTAGAATCTAATTCTTATTACTGTAAATTCTGTTTGGTTTTTTTTTTTTTTTTCCTACTAATTCAATTTTTACTCTGCTTTTTAGTCACACTGCTTTAAAGGATGTTAATTCACCTGTTCTAAGGAACGTATCAAAGCTGGAAGACATTCTAGCTTAGACATTCCTTATGGACACACCATCCATCCTTTCACTAGGCAGTGCACAAAGCATTAATCTCAAGTCCTTCACATCCTCTTTCTGCACCTCCCACTTTCTCATTTCCTATCAGGCACTCAAATAGCAAATCTGACTAACTTATTCTCTGCTTTCCCTCTTGACATGTAGTAGGTGGTAAGCAGAGGAACTGTTTAGTAGCTAATGGGACAGACTCTTTAGAGCACCCACTTGTAATATTGCATACAACTTCACCTGCTATAAATGGCACTTCTTTGGTCCAAAGCAGCCACACTTCCTTTTACCCTGAGATGTTCATCCCTCTTTTTACAATGACCCCACAAACTGTGGCAGACTGTTACAAATGCCTCAGCAGCTGTGAGAAAGTAGTTAGGTTTATCACAGATTAATCCTCTCACCGTGCAGCTGAACAAAGTATTCTGCTACCCTCTCGCATGAGGTGGCACAGAAAACCAAAGCTGCCAGAGACACACAGAGTAGGAACTATTTATTTGGCAGCAGTTTTGGCTTATGTCAGTTGAAAGCATTTGTGAAATTGCAGCCTCACTTCAGAACCCTGGCTAGAGGTCAAGAGCAAAGCACTCTGGGTTTGATAATACTAAGCCTGAGCTGAACTTCTGTTTAAAATTAAAGAACTGAATTAAAATTAAAGATCATTTTCCTCTCAGAACAGTTATGGCAAGCTGGCACTAAGGCAAATCTCATCACTGTTACAAATGCAGTCGTAGTCACGGAAAAGTGCAGGATTTTTTAAACAGAAAAATATTACTCATTTGAAAGACAACAGAGGTGTACAAGAGAGTACAGAACCAAACTGCTGTACTCAACCCAACACAGAAAATCCTTGCCAACAGGTTTATTGCAGTAGAAGAAACTGGTAGTAATGTCTACACTTCAAAATTGCCCTTGGTTTTCCATTACATAATCCTGTTCTAATTTGCTTTAGCTTGCCAAACAAAACTTGTTCGGTTTAAAAATCTCCTATGTAATCTGTTAGCTCAAGCTGATGTTCTGAAAGTGTCAGATACAACCACTCCAACCACATACAAAAAATGTGGGAAAAATGTACATTTACTCATGTAAAAGAAGTCTTACAGCTCAGCTTTATCATTACAGCCTCCAGTACTTCCAATTCTGGACAAGAAATTCCTTTTACATACTGTAGAATGGTCTCCCAGGAAACAAAGGGCAGTTAGGACTAAGAAGAAGGTTATACTTTAAAGTCTCAATATAAATTATACAAGCTGTATTTCTAATATGTGTTAGTATTTAATATAAACTTTAAAGCTTGCCTTGAGGGTTTCACTCAGTAGCATGTGCTACCACCCACTATTCTGGATGCTTCTGAAACTTGCACTCTCATTTGTGCCAGAGCTGAAGAACAAAAATCTGCATTTTGTCCAGTTTTTAAGACATTTAACCTAATTACACATGGAGTTAGACATAAAAAATGAAACTCGAATGACTTGCAAAGTGAAACCACATTTTAGCAAGTCAAGTTTATTGACTATTCATCTAATTGAATATCTGTGTTTTTTAAAAATAAGTATGAAATTTGACTGATAATTATTTTTTTAAAAAAATCAACACTTCACTTTACTGTTTCCTTATAATCAATTCTTCAGCAATTAATCCGAGCCTTCTTCTCTAAATAAAATTTCTAACAACACAAGTGTTTACAGACCCAGATCACGATCTGATAGATCTATAGAAGCACACAGAAAGATTATCCTTACCTCAAAACTTCTGAACGCTGAATGAGTTGTATCTTAACTCCCTTGTTAAGTGTTTGGTTTTTTTAAGACAGTGTGACTAGAACTAAACATAGTATTCCTGATGAAGTCATGCAACTTATTTACATAATGACATTATCAGATTTCAGTTCAAAGAGCAATTATGACATATTTAGCATTTGTCTACCCTTGAAGAGGTCTTGTTGATACGGTTTTACTGGTAGGCTAGAAGTCTTACCTATACCAAGATTATTGATTTGCTGATGTGTACTCTCATTTTTGGCTTTTTCTTCTGTTGTTGACATAGCTTTTCTGATAACCTCTTCACAAATTCATCATAAAACGAATTTGCAATTTAGCAACTACAAAGTAATTTTAAGTTGTCTGTTTTTATTCCTTCAGATATTTTAACAACAATTATGCTGTCTGCCCTGAAAGTCGTCCTTCAAAGTCCTAATTTATATTGCCTCCCACCTACCATCTCTCCTCTATTTAAATAATTTAAGAATAAATTGTTTCTGCATGAGACTGAAGATATTCACAGAAATTAAGAGCCTAATTTCTAAGATATAGAAAAAGGAATATTTTAAAATATTATTGTTCATAGAAATGCTTACCAAGGGTTTAATAAAGAAAACTGCAATAAGAAAGAGTAAGTAATAAGAGCTGGCTGCAGAGGGTCATTTAAATGAGTACTCTTTATGCATTTAAAACCATTCACCATTTTGGTTAGAATGATTGCCTCCTAGAAAACACCAAACAAACATTTTAGATTCTCTTGTCTAACTGTTATTCTTTTGAGGTTTTCAGCTTCACAGACTGAATGATCCCATAAACATCAGTAAAATTTGTACCTCAATCTGGTATCAAAAGCCAGATAGCATGATTTCCTGTACAACCTACCTGAATAAAAATTTAACAAAGGCAATTTTAATAACTTACTGAAACAAAAGGAGTGCAGAATCCTAGTAAGCAGTGTAAGAGTCAGCTCACAAGAAGAATGGATCTGCATTGCAAAAGCAGATATGAGAACTCTACCCAGTAACTGCTTGTTTGAGTTTGTAAGTTTGTCATCAGGGAAGAACAGTCACGTATTTAGCAGAAATTAACTACTCCTCCTATGGTATTACCACTATTCACATTTCATTTCGGCAGTGAAGTGTTAATGCAGTTATTGAATTTACTTATAACAAGAACATTGTGAACAGAGCACTAGATACACAACAGATTGAGATCACAGTCTCCAGGTATCAGCCTCATAAGGCTTCACGCAATTACTAAGCAGGCATAAAAATCTTCTGTTGACAGGCCTCAGCACATAACTGGCACCATTTCATACCCATACAAGAGAAAGCTCTTAATGTCACATACCGATTTCTTTTTAATGTCCTCCAGATCTTTGAGTTCATTCTCAGTCTTTGTGATTAATTCCCTGAGTTCATCAAGATTAGTGCAAATAAGCTAAAAAACAAATGAACACAAACACTTGGTAATGTGGGACTTGGAAAATGTACAATGACGTTAAATAAAATCTAAACGCACATGTTATTACTTAGTGCCACCATTTTATTTTTATTATCTTACAACATTTTTAAATGTAAAAAAATAGGGTTTTCTGAACGGAAAAAATCTACTAAGAAAATACTGCACTCTTCAGACATAAATCATGTCTCTGCCTGTAAGCTTCCACTGCAAAATGTAGATATTTTCTTAAAACTTCTGTGAATGACAACTACCAAATTTGTCTCACGTACAGTAATTAATTTGAACAAGTTTGAGTACCAAACAACAAGGGCTAGTATCAACTACTAGTTTTGGACTATGCTGTGGTTATAACATAATTACACAACTTTTTCCTGAACATTAGTTTATGTTTACACAGTATTCCTGATAGATAAATAGGTAGATTTGATAGACACATCTAGGTTATGTTTTGAAAAAGTATTACATTCTTCTTACTCCTGTCTTTAGAAAACAGCTTTTTATATATTTCCTCTCAGAATATGGATGTTATTTTGTGGAAAAACAGAAGTAATTTCTATATTTTTGGCTTGCCATCATTTAGAGCAATTAAAGACTTAATACACTGGAAATTACTAAGCTGGTAGGTTCTTTTAGGTTAACACATGTTAAGACTCGCTTCTTCCTGAACACTCTTAGGCGGAAATGTTTTCTTTACTACTGGAAACATGTTCGAGATAATTTAAAAAAATCATATCCAAACAGAAAAAAAAAAAAAAAATCCACAAAAATGCTTCTAACACAAAACTGCTAACTTTAAATTTTTTTCCCAGATCAGTAATTCATGACAATATATTTATCTCAGTTACACATGAAGTTTCAGATCTGCAGCAAATTCGTATTAAAAAAACCCTCTGTTGCACTACTGAAACACGTAACTGACACTTTTAGCAAAATACATAAATTTCAGAAACCTCTAACACATACGTGCCATTATTTTCACATTTGTACATTTGAGAGCATTGGGGTATTGGAGTGACAAGTTTACAGCGTTCACACATATCAGTTTTATATCAGCAAATGAATAAAGAAATTGGCAGTGCATTGCTGTAGACCATATACGTAAAATCAACCCAGAAAATACTATTACTACGTGTAACTCTACTAGGTTCAACATGCATGTCTGTCCTGCACTGAGAGAAGTTTCCAATACACAGAATCCAAATTAGAAACCAAATATTGTCTTTTCTTTTCTCAACTGGCCTGCAAAGATATCTATGATACTGTATTGTTACATAAGAAGATACAGGTTGTCACACCAAGCCCTTGACAAAAATCAACAAAAGCATAGATAAAGATTTCTCCTATGCAGTTATAATCCACTCCTTTGACTATATACCTCACAATTCAGTTTTTAAATTTCATCACCGCTTTTTATTTTCCCCTAGACATGTTTAATTCAGTGTACCATGGATCAAAGATAAAGCAGACTTCTGAACCAAAGAACGATATGCTCTTCATTTCCTAGAAGCAAGTGAATTTATCTCTAGGAACTCACTCTTAGAAAGGCAAGGGTTTGTAAAGAGAAAGATGTTTTCACTATTAGTTGAATGCTGTCCTGGAAATACCAACTCTATCTTTTACTCTATCGCAAAAAGCTCCCACATATCATGAGACAATTCATGAAGCCAAACTTTTCACAGGTTCTAGTCCCATTTCTCATTTTCCAAAGAGCCACTTGATACATAAGGATCCTATTTGCAAAACTGTTTGCGTGTGCCAAATCCAAACTACATCAGTGGGAAAACCAATCCAAGTATATAAAGTTTAGCTGTCTTGTGGCTGGAGGTGACAGGGAACAGTAATCAAATCTCTAGACCCTGATTTCCATCAGAAGAGATGTACCTTTGAGGCTAGTATCTCCATGTCAATTATGCATTGATAAAACAAGGAAAGTAACAGCAGCTCATCTTAAGATTTACTTTCAGAATTAGTCTAGTATTTCAAATACCCCAATACTATACTGAAAACCACTATAAAAAGGTTCCAGAAGAAATGTGTAATTCTTCATTCACAGTGGGATTTAAGGTAAGGAACTAAAGATGCACACTGATTGGGAAGAAGCTATTTCTGAGACTTCTCCCACTTGGTTAACATTTCCCATCTTACAGAATGAAACCAGTATTTTGAAGGAAATATGAAAAGAATAAAAAAATGTAGAGTATTTTGTTTGATCATTTTGATATGGAATCCAGCTGCTGTTTCTCATGATGAGACTTATGTATGTTTCACTGTTCTTTTTTCATTGTTGCTAATTAGTTGAACTTAGCAATTCAGATTTCTGCAAACACTGGCTTTCTAAACTGTTTTCTATGTTTTAACAGGTGCGTTAACGTGAAGGCAAAAAGAAAGGTGTTAACGTTACAATCTAATCATTCTGTCACATTCCCATAGCTCACACTGGTAAAGTTTCATAGAATCATTAAGGCTGGAAAAGACCTCTAAGATCATCAAGTTTCACACACTCTTCTTGAAGAACATGCCTTGTAATCATCTATCATGAGAAGAATCTGAAGAGAAAAAAAAATGTTTCCTTTATGACTTAACAAAG